GAAAAGAGGCGGGGTAAGATGGGAGATGCTGTCCAAGGTTGACTGTGTTGTAATTTGTTCTCGGAGCCTTTGCATCGTGGCATTTTTCTTACTGAAAAGGGAAGGAAAACGCGCGCACAACACAATATCAGCAAGGCTGCCTTTATAAAAAGACTCTCCTGTTTGGTCACCGTGATTCAAAGCCAAGGACTCGGAAGCTCTTCTCCATCCTACCTTTCCTTCTGTTGCCAAATGTAATTAAACATTAGATTTTAGAAACACTCTCGGGAAGAGTTTTATGGCACAAAGATGATGCTTCTGCAGCTTGGGTTGAAACCCGTGGTATCGTTGGCCGGTGCCCGAATCCTACGGGTGTAAATCCAGATTAATTGCATCCCCGTCAAATCTATACAGGCGCAGGAGGAGTCAGAAGTTGTGGCTCCGTGGCTTGGTTGGACCCTTGGTGAATGGGGCTCGTTTGCCAGCGGGCCGAGGTCTAACTGCAGCGTGTTGGCTTTGGCAGGGAGCTCAGCCGAAGAAGGTCCCGTTCCCCGGGCTCTGCTCCGCCGCTGCCACGCCTGCCCCTGCTCTTCTGCTGCAAGGGCATCAAGGCCGAGAGATTATTTTTATTTTTAATCTGGGTCGCTGCAGCGGTTTAGCGCGCGGTGCGACCCCACGGCACGGGGTAGGAACGCAACGGGAGCGCTGCCATGGCCCGTGAGGGCGGCAGGTTGGGGGACGATGCAGACCTCCACCTGTCCCAGCAGAGCCCCGTGAATTTTCCACAGTTTCCCAGAGCAGCCCAGGAAAAGCATAATCGTGCTGAACAACGGCCAGGAAACTACTTTGAATCAGCTGGTGGCCGACACATTTCTCCAGTAAACAAGCTGCATAAAGGATATCCTGAAGTGGCTTTTCAGTCTGCGGCATTAGGGTGAACGAGCACTGCTTCTAATGAAGTAATTGTTATTTAATAGTTGTTATCGATGTCAGGGGAATTTTGGGCCTCGCTTATACTACAGAAGCTTGGTGGTACAGCAACAACGGCGTGGTTTGATTGATAAATGTTCCTCAGGGAGGTACAGACTATGGCAGTTTCCCAAAACCATAATAAACGACCTGGCACAAGTATTCCTATTTTTCCCCTCCCTTTGGCCAGCACAGTTATGTCAGCTAAGGGTGTGATATTTTTTCTCACTCCTAACTGACACGTTCGTGCCAGCAAAACTTCAAAAGTCATCCAACCTCAGGTGGGTTTTTTTTTTGTTTGGGTTTTTTTTTTCAGCCAATCTCATTATGCTAGATGGAGCATCTGTCTTTGCTTGTTCAGGCTGGCATAATTAGCCAAACCTGCCTTTCTGAGGAAAATCAGCCCTTGCTCCTTCTAGGAAAGCCTCCGTTTGTTGGTAAACGATTTGTTTTATAGCAGTTAAATAGGAGATGGAAAGTAATGTGGATAAATGTTAGGATATTTGTTTAGTTTTGTCTGCCTTTCAGCTGGTAACTCAGCACCATCTCTGGCCGTAGCAACCGTGTAAAATTGTTTGGTGGTAATGCTGCTTTATCATCTGAATTTCCTTCCGTGGCCCTTGTCAACATGAACACCTCGCATGGAGACACAAACTCTGAATGGTTCGGATTTATCGTATCCCCGCTTTATTGGTGGGACAAGAAAGGTTAAAAAAGGGCCAATCATTTTCTCGACATCTCCTTGGTTTGTAACAATTTTAGATCTGTTTCTGGTCTAAACCCCTGTGCTGTGATTCCATAGCTGCTTTGCAGTTCTGGGTTTTTCAGGGCTGGCGAGTGGGTGTAGGACATGCGCTGCGGCAGGAGAGCACGGCTCGCTCTTGCTGGCACCATCACCAGTGGGACAGCAAAGGCTTGGGACCGGTGTTTTGGAGCCAAAAACATCTATTCTGCAGGATTCCTGGTAGCAGCCTTGGCATTGATGCTTATCCAGAAACTGGGACTGCTGCGCTAGCTTCATCTAAACCAAAATGCATCAGAAGTTAAACCTCTCTTGGGATGCATTGCTGGTTTGAGGGTCGAATGATGCCGGAGGACTGGGAAGCAGGACAGAAAGCATTTTGCCTTTTGTTGCTCTTGGCCAAAAGACGGCATACCTGACCGCCTCCTGAGCTCTCACAGCTTGTAAGGATAGCTTATCCTTTGCAGACACCTACTTGCTTTTTTGTTCTTTTTTATAACCTGTCAGCGAAGAGACGGCTGCTTGGATCTTCCTGCTGTTCTCTTTCTTTCTTCCCACCCAGGAGAAGCCTAACTCCTATCGCTGAATCACTCTTGCGTGGGTATAAAACTCTGAAGTCGGTTTAGCCTGGGAAACTCTCATGCAGAGGAGGCAGCGATTCGGAGAAGAGCGATGCGGGAAACTGTGTTGAAGCAAGGAACCGTGCAAAGGTTTCAGCAGGCCGCTGATAAGTGAATTTTTGGTTATTGAACCTGCCCTGACGGTGTCTTGGGCTGCCACACTGGTACACCCTGGGAGGGTGTTTGTAGGAACCTGCTTACTGGTGCAGAAAACAAGACAGTTCTTTTCACCGGTACCGAGTGGCTTAAAGGCAGAGCAGATCTATTGTGTTTTAAAAACACAGGTTTCCTTTCTGGTTAGTGATGTAACCAAGTATCAACACCAAGCACAGTACATCTTTGGATGGTGGAAATGTATCCATTGCACCTTTTTCTGTTTTTAATGCCTGAGGGGACGGACACCCAAAAGTCACTTGCTGACCTGGTCACCAGCATTAGTAGAATTTCTGCAGTACTGGAGCTGGATGCATTTTTCTCCATTTTAAATCCAGTATCTGATAGACTCATTTGTCATTGTCAGGCAAGATATTTCATGAAGAACTGTACCCGGAGTCTGTAAAATGATTCAAATGAATACATACGTATTATTAATTGCTTTATTTGGTTGTTTATTTGGCTGTTGTTAAAGTGTCTGTCTCAGGTCTGTCACCTCCAATAGCATTATCACAGGAGCCCGAGGGTGGTAACCCTTTGAAATTCCACACAAGCCAGAGTGACATTCTGTCTCCATTTATTCTTGAGCAGGGCTGATAGGAGATGATAAATGAGCCGTTACTTTACTGTGATGATGGATACAACCAAAATCTATCCTAACTTTGTTTGGCACGTCAGCACAATCTGTTCGTTTATTGTGTGTAATTAAAAAACCCTGTCAAACCGAAAACATTCCATTCATTAAAGCCCCCATAGCCACAGCTTGTCATGCTCAATGCTTCTGCGTTTTGTTAAATGATTTGGGTTTGACTGTTGAGAAGGCAGACATGGGTTTTGTTGGTGATTTCAGACATTCAGATGTAGCCCTCTGTTTAAAGGGATTAAAACATCATGAAGCATAGCATGGTTATAACCTTGTTCGTGGGAGAAGGTTTTTCATGTTGTCTGGTTGAAGAATGCCCTGTCTGCCTCTGTGAAGCATTGCTGCATAAATCTCCCTTTTGCTGAGTCCCAACTTCCAGAGCCACTCGCAGAATTTCAGGTGGTGCTCCTTACCGAGCAGCGGTGACTCTGAAGAGATGCACCTCTGTCACCACGGGGCTTCAGTGCTTTTGTTTGAAAGAGCGTTCACTCTGCCGAAATTTGATTACAGCACTTAGGTTTTAATGCAGGTGGAATACGCGCTTGTCTTTCCTCTCTGGGATCTGAGACAGGAGCAGGGGAGAGGGATTGCTGGCATTGCCTTGCGGGTGCTGCAGGAGCCTTTACAACTTCCTGGGGCTGTAAAGGCTTCCTCACAAAGCACAGCCTTTTATACCAAGCGATTTGTTGTTTTCAATAGAGCTCTTCTGTTGAAGTTAAACTGCTTTTAAATCACGTCTACAATGGCACTTTTGTTGGGGAGGCCAGAGCCCTCTCGCTTTCAGAGTGGGCCTCTGGAAGGAAAGTTGACATTCGAGGGCATTGTTCTGCTTCCCATTGAAACCTGTGCTCAGCCTCTCCTCCCGGTTTGCGTGAAGTTTTATTTGTGGCACCCACTTCTGCCCCGTGTGACTCTGCGTTTCCTTCGACGGGGAATTAGTGTCCTTAGTGGGACTGGATGGGTTTACCAGGGTGACCGATGGCACCCGCGCCACGCAGAGAGCCTGCGGCATTGCGCAGAGAGACGGGGCGGGAGGTTTGGAGGGATGGCTCCTGAGCTGCCGTCTCGTCTCTTTGTAGACTTCTTGTATTTATTCTGGAGGGGATAAGCTGCAGCTCTTCAAATCGGCTGCCTTAGTTTTCTGCTAAATAAAACAGGCAGAAATGCTTTTATCTTGCAAAGGCTTGAGAAGACTCGGGGAGCTAATAATGCCCTGGAATGGACTGTGCTTCCACAGCTGCAGCGAGGGTCATTAAAATTGCAGGTGTGCTGGAAGGGCAGTCTGTAGCACTTAGAGCTAAACGTCCTCTAAGTTCAGATATTATTAGTCATTTGTTTGTTCTGGAGGCACTTAAGACTGCTAGAATGAGAGCCAGTAACAAAGCCTTTATTTCTTTGTATACCGCGTTTGTCGTCGTACATAAGATTACTGTTGTTGGGGGGGGGGGTTTGTTTGGTTTTTTTTTGTTGTTGTTGGTTTTTTTTTGTTTTTTTGGTGGTTTTTTTTTTTTTTTTTTTTTTTTTTTTTTGTTTAGCCTTGTTCATTTTTCCACAGATGAAAACTGTAGCTCTCAGGTGCTGCCCATCAGCCAGGATGCCCTGACAGCCCTTTAGTACACTCCCACCTGAAGCTGCTTTGCAGATAAATGTGTCTTTGTGTTAAATTCTTCCATTACAGCTGTCCCCTGTTATTTCTGCGCTAGCCAAGAATTAGAACAGAAGCCAAGTCTCTGTTTAGTATCAGACCTTGGAAAATCTGTTTCTGTAAATAATTGATATTAATGTTACTACAGTTCTTACGTGCTCTGTAGAATGTGTTAGGCTTGGCCTTGCCTAACTGAGCCAGATCTAAAATGTTTGTTTGGTTTTTTTTTTTTTTTATTTTGTTGTGCAGTGTCAAAAAAACACGGCAAGCTCATCACCTTCCTTCGTACATTCATGAAGTCGCGCCCAACAAAACAGAAACTGAAACAGCGGGGGATCCTGAAGGAAAGAGTGTTTGGCTGTGACCTGGGAGAGCATCTTCTCAACTCTGGCCATGATGGTAAGAAACAGTCCATCCTTGAGTTATTTCTCTGTTGGGAATCATATTTCAGGGTGATCGTATCTAGCAAAGGTACTAGTTGGTACTAGCAGGGAAATGTGTAGCAAAAATCAGTGGCTGAAAGACAAATTGAGGCTAATGCTAATAAGAAGCATCGTGGTTTGACGTGGGAGCACTGAAGATGGATGGAACTACTGAAGAGGAGTTCTCAAAGTCTTTGAATTAATATGAAATATTTTTTTGCAAGGAAACAAACTTTATTTACGTGTCAGTGTCGATGAATAATTATCTGGTCTGTTAAATGCATACATTTCTCTAACTCAGTACCTCTGTATGATTCTAGCACAATTTGCATTGTAGATCCTCCGTCTCTCTTTTCTCTTGATTTCACAGAATTTACAGGAATTAGCCGGGTACTATGTTTTGCCACAGCTTACTTTTCTCTCAGTTTGTCACGGTGAGTTTTCTGTAGCTCTTCTCGGTCCCTTTCACCTCCCCACCAGCCGTTCAGGGAGGTAGCAGAGAAGAGCTGTTCGTTCCGAGACAAAAATTACACCGTTTTTCCTACTCTCCCCCGAACCAACTTCTGTTCCACGTGCTCTTTCCTACCCTCTCACTGCGACATCTCCAGTCCGGGCTGCGCAGTCGGGGAGGTACCTGCATTGGCGAGGAGCAATCGGAGGGCTCGGATTCCTTCACAGTTCACCAGCCAAGGTCATTCCCATAAATGGCCCACGCTGAGAGCGATTTAGCAAAGCAGCGGGGAGCAGCCATGGGCTGCAGCCAGTTTGCCCAGGAGTTAAAGCCATCAGGGAATTAGTGACGGGTGTAGCATCACTGTCTGGCTACGTCAGCTTCTTGATTTTTTTGCTCCTTGCTTGTTAATCTGAAGTCTCCCAGCTTTTGCGTGCAGGCCAGAGGAGAAGTGACGGGACGTGTGGGGCAGGAAAGGAGTTTCTCTGTCGCATTTGTTTTCAGTGGTACTTCAGACTCCTTGTTCACGTGTGCCTTTTGGAAAAGGGATGGTAAAGGGTGGGGAGCTGTTTCGTGCGCTTTTTCCAACTGATTCAGCCGGTAACAGCGATGTGCACTCCCTTCCCTGGCGTGAAGGGTTTTACTACCAGTTGGTGAATAACATGAGCTTGTTCTTATGGAATCAGGACTGTGGCGAGGTTCATTTGCTTGTTAATTGGAACCAGTAGAGATCTTTATTGCTGGGGCTTGAAAAGCATCAGAGAGCCAGCAACTGGATGGTTTGGAGACGGAAACAGACAGCAACCCACGTAGGAACTACATCAGGAGTAGGTAATTTACACCACCGGGTAGCTATAGAGCTGGTTTTATATTTGTGCTGCGGGAGCAGTCTTGGAGGGCAGGAGACGTGCCAGCAGAGTGAGCTCATTAATGGGAAAGAGAGAATTCTCTTTTATCCCCAGCCCTCCTCCTGTCCATTTTAGTTAGGCACAAGTCAGCAATAATTAAAGCTTTTCCCTGCCCTCTGCGCTGACTTCTTCCCCTGGCTTTAAGGGGTACGCATTTTATTTAGCATTAAAAGGCACACCCTGAGTTGAACTGAACTGTTCTGACTCCACTGGAGGCTCCTGTTTGACAGTGTCTAGGAGCTCCCTTCTTGTTCTGGTCACTCCCCTCCCATCACGTGGAGCTGAGTGACTGTGTCCGAGCTGTGCTAATGAGGTCTCTTCATCTGAGAAGTGACCACGTGCTTTCACCCTTGATTTAATAACTCTTTCCTAACTCCCTGGAGTGAAGCAGATCCAATTTGAACGTTGCTAACAGGGGCATGTCTCCATTTCACACAGCGGGATTGTTTTTTTTTTTTCTGTGTGATTCAGCTCCCTGACCTGTATTCCAAGTGACGTAATCCCCAGGATTGGTTTTGTGGAGACATTTCTGAGTTCCTGTGAATCAAGCTCCGTGCATGCACAGCGTTTTAAGATTCCCTCATTTTCTAGTGTTAATGTTCCTCAGTCTTGAAGCCAACTCTTGCTGATCTCCTGAAAGGGGACTGAGATACCATGGGAGACCCTAAGTTGAATTAGATAGAGCAAAGATGCAGCCCTGTTCCTTCACCTCATAACCAGAACATAAACAAGTATTTTTATAGGAGCACGGAGTACTGTAGCTGAAGTCTGTGCATGATCCCTCCTGGGAACACGTTGGGATTACATCCATAAAACATCTCAGTTCAGAAGAACAAAAAAGAACCCGGTACATTCATAGAGTCGCTGAGGGTAATGCTGGTTTTGATGGGTTGCTGTCCAAGACCCGAAAGACTTTGCAGTACTTGAAGGAGACAATGACCCTGCCCACAGTGTTTGAAATGAGTGTCACGGCACTCGTGTGCACCTGAGAGATGCCATATTGAGCCAAACTGGAGTTACGTTAAGAATTTTATTAATTATCCACTTTGGGAGGCTGACAAAGCCTAAATTCTCAAGAATTTGCTGTGAAACAACACGAGCAGTCTCAGTTTCACAGTCATGAATACCTGGAACTTTGCGTGTCCTTTAGATAGGAAATGGTGAGAGGGGAGCAGACCGAGAGAATAAAAGTGGCTAAGGAAGGACAAAAACTGAAAGAGGTCTGACATTTTTTAACGAAACGCTGCGTTGAGGCAGCTGGCTCAGACTGCTTAGCTAGGAGAAGAATGTTTGCTATCGTGTGTCTGTATGCCCAGAAGGAATTTACGGACACAGAGGAAATGCTTTACCTACTGCAGGGTGTTGTCTTTCTGTGGGCTCAGCAGGGAATCACTCTCCTCCTGCATCCCTCGCACCTCTTTCAAAAAGAGAATGAATTGGCAGGAGACGTAGAGGAGGGAAGCAGTGCAGAAATGTGAGCTGTTACGGAGGAAAAGCCCAGGTTCGGAACTAGCAAAGCATTTGTCTTCCTTCACCTGAGCTTTAGAGACCAGCCTTGTGCTGAGGCAGGCGTGACAGAACTCGCGCCTGCTAAACTTCAGGGTATAATATGTCTGTTAGGGAGTTTCTCCTTAGGGAAGGGTGTCTGGGTAAGATGGGGCGAGTAGGGCAAGCGGGCTGGTGTTGCCTTTTCATTTTTGATGAGGATGCAGTTTGTCATTTTTTTTAATTGACGTGTGCAGATCTAAGAAGTAACACTCTAAGCAGGCATAGGAAGGGAGGTGAGGTTTTTAACAAACGTTTATAACAACAGCAGTAGGGGTGAGTACTGCGCCTTAAAATCCTTCTGTACGCCTGGTGATTCATGTTGGGGAGCGTGGTGATGACCAGGCTGGCGACTGTAGGCAGGCAGTGTGCTGGGTTTGGGGTTTGGTTGCGGTTTTTTTAACTCCAGTTTGTAGCCTGCTGACAGCTTGGGCCCTTGTGTGGCAGGAGTTACACCTCTGCGTGGTGTGGAACAGCCTTTTCCCAAAGGCCCTTGCAGGCAGGATGGCGGTGGGGGGAAGGAAGCATCATTGTCCGGTTTCTTGGATGAGGATCTGAGTCATGGGAAGATCACAGGATTATTTTTCAAAATATCAGTGTTCCAAGCTGCTTTGGAAATGGGGAAGTAGGAGCCCCGGTGGGTGTACATAGGTGTGAGGCTTCCAGCGAAAGTAACAGCGATCTGTCCCTTTGGTTCCTCTCCTGTGTCACGCGTCCGCACTGAATTACGGGCTGGTACCTGCAGGAGTAAAGCCAGGCTTGATGTGAGGGATTTTCGACTTCTCTGTTGGGTCTAAGTCTAGCAAAGGTTGTGGTGATGCTCCCTTCAAGTACGTTGGGTTGCACAGTATGCCTCCAGCCGGCTCTAGTCACCCAATGGAGCCTGCCTGAAGAGGCCCGTCTCCATTTAATTTTAGTGCGTTATTCATTTGTTGGCTCCTTTTGGGTTTTGAATACTTCCCCTGCCAATGAAGCGTCATTTGGAAGCAGACCAAGCTTAGCAGGGAGTAGCTGTTTCTTCATCGCCCTGAGAGATGTTCCCAGTTGGTTTGGTGCTGTTGACACCCACCGTGCTGGTTTGTTTTTTACGGAGCTGTGAGATGCAGCAAATTCAGTATAATCCCTGACTCAGGAAGAGCCCTTGTTCCCTTTGTAGGCAGGTAGAGCTTTTTCCCCCTGAACTTTTTTCTCTCGCAGGAACCCAAATAGATCTTAAATTTAGCTCGACCCCGATTAGAAAGAATTGTGCTTGCAGAGGATGTGTTTGTTTAGTGTGGGAGCTGGTTAAATGCTGTATTGCAGCATCTGTCCCATGGCCTCGTTCGTGCCTCCAGAATATTTCGAAACGGAGCTCTCCGCAACTTCTGAATCGATGACAAGCGTAGGAGTCCGCAGTGATGTGGTTAGCAGAAACTTTGTGCCTGGCTGCACGGAGAGGCCAGCGGGGTGGGAGGCTGGGCAGGTTCCTGACTCACTGGCAGAGCAGTGGCCGAGGTTTATGCAGAGTCTCGGGCTGCGCGGAGCTGCAACGCAAACGGGGAGGCTGGGCGGTCATCGACTCACCGAACGGTTTGGCTTGGAGGGGACCTCAAAAGGTCATCTAGTCCCAAGCCCCCTGCCCCGGGCAGGGACACCTTCCTCTAGAGCAGGTTGCTCCAAGCCCCGTCCAACCTGGCCTTGAGCCCTGCCAGGGAGGAGATCTGGCGCTGCAGTTGCGGTGGTGCCGTTTCTCGCCGGGCCCTCGGGGTCGGTCGGCCGCACTCGGCCGGCGCCAGAGAAAAGCCAGGCTGCTCTTGGGGGAGTATAGGAGTTGTGAGCCGCAGCAGATGAGGGATTGCTTTACAAGGTACTTTTTATTCAAATGCTGCTGGGAATAATGTGCTGTAATGTTCGGACTAGAGAGGATGGGGCATAAAATACCGGCGGCTCTTTTTCCGTGCTGAAAATGTTCCTGCTGCCTGGCGCTTGATAAAGATGATCATTTCTCTCTTGGCGGTCAGAGTGGAGCACAGGCTAGCCCCGGCGTACCCTGAAATGATGAGACCGGGTGTTCATTTCATGAGATAATCCATA